ATATATATACGCACACACACACACACACACACACACACACACACACGTGTATTTATTATTTTTGTATTGTGGTTGTGTGGGTCTGTCAGTGTTTTTGAGGGCCCATTCACACTAGTACAGCGCATTAATTGAACAGTACATTACACTTACTACGCACTCTGGTGTGGGAGGTGTGTTGTGTTGCCATTCATTTGAACGGAACCCCGAATGCAACTCCCACCCACAGTTCCATCGCCCGCACCGGAACGCACGCTACCGCAATGCTGTGCATTCCATTGCAGTGCGACTTGGGTTGCAAGTTAATGTCCGAGGACTAATGTGTGTCCTGAGGTTACACAGGCTGAGAACCACTGATCTAGATTACCTGTATATATGAAACTGAATGCGATATGTCACCTTGTGTCTGCAGGTAGCTTATGCCAGGCTACCTGCAGACATGAGATGGCACATGCCACACTACCTGTAGACATAAGGCAGTACTACCTGCAGACACAAGGTGGCATATGCCAGGCTACCTGTAGACATAAGGCAGTACTACCTGCAGACACAAGGTGGCATATGCCAGGCTACCTGCAGACACAAGGTGGCATAGGCCAGGCTACCTGCAGACACAAGGTGGCATAGGCCAGGCTACCTGCAGACACAAGGCAGTACTACCTGCAGACACAAGGTGGCATAGGCCAGGCTACCTGCAGACACAAGGCAGAACACACATGGCTACCTATAAGACTGACTCCATTGGTCACATTATTTTTTTTTAATATTTAACATTCTTCCATAGGGAATAACCTTTTCTGTAGGGAACAAATACATTCCTATAAAAAAAAAACTGCTGCCAATGATCGGCATCGCACCAAGTGTATTGTGTCCGATTGTTTTATCGCTTGCGGCTCTGTAGAAAAACAGACAGGTAAAAAGAGGGGAAACCCCCCCCCACAGAGACGATACAGACTCCATGCAAGATGTGTCTATGGTGGGATGTGAGCCCCGGGCCCCGGTGATGCAGAGCTCAACAGCGAGCCGCTTGTCCTGCTCACGGGGTCAACCCAGAGAAACCTTTTTCTCTAATAGACGATTTACAATTGGTGAATCCTTTAAAAAGGCGCAAAGCAGGTTCCCAGGCTGTGAACTTTACACAGGAAGTGGAATCCCTTTGTGACCTGTCACTGTGCACAGAGGTGGAGACCGAAAATAAAAGACGTGTAAACAGAGACCAAACTATTCTGGGTGCGGTTCAGGAGATCAAATCATCTGACGTTCTGTACATTATGTAAACAAAAAGGTGGAAGGAGTCTTGCAATGTTTTTCCCCCGAAGATTAACACAACATTCACCCAAGATGCACACAACATTCACACGCTTTCTCATTTATATTGAATATTGGGGGTCAATTCATTAACGTTTTCACCCGAGTGTACTTCTAGCCATTTAGTTTCAGTTCAGAATACTTAAAGGGTTGAAAGTTTGTATTTTTTTGCTGACTGTTGGGGGAAATTTCTCTTCACTTCCTGCCTGGAGACTCTGCAGGAAGTGATAGAAAATCTCAAGGGCAGCAAGGGAAATTCCCCTCTTGGTTGTTACTAGAGTGTCCCCATTGGAAGGTTTCCCTTCTATTCCTGTTCTGGTGACCACGCTCTAAGGTTTCCCGTCACTTTGTCTATGGACGATGGTCGCTGGACAGAGAACCTCAATAAAAACCTCACCCAATAAACATTGGGGACAGCGTTATGGCCGATGGATGGAGCGGTGGAACATGAGCTAGAAGTGTTTATTTCCTGTGCTCTTCAGCGCCATCTAGTGGCCATAATGCGGGTAAGGGTTGCTTCTTGATTGTTAAAGGAGAACTTTGGGGTCAGGGCTTTTCCCAATAGTTTGCCTAAGGGTAACGGGAGGACACAAACTAGCGTCCTCCCGTCACCCAAAGCTCAGTATACCGCGAGCTAAACCTTGCGGTATACTGAGACGCCGCAGCCGATCCCGACAATTCAGTCTGGATCCACCCAGCTGCGTGAGTGACAGCTGGCTCCGCCTATCTAGAGGCAGGGCCAGCTGTACCCGCCCCCTCCGCTGTCCGTTCCGCCAGTCAGCGCTGGAGGATCGGACAGGGGAGGGGGGAATCCAATCCCTCCCCTGTCACGGCTCACTGCCGTCACAGGATCGAGAGGTGAGCGAACGCCGGTATGTGTTCGCTCACCTCCCGATCTACTGAGCCGACCTGTGACAGTTTCATTGTCACAGGTCGGCTAGAACTATGAGGTGAGTGAAAAGCACCCCCCCTCATAGTTCTCCTTTTAAGGGGTTGCTCTTCTTTGATGGTACAACAAGAACTTTCTAGCTGACTTCTGCAGCAGCTTTTTGTGGGCCCTCTAGGGGGTTTCACTTACCTGGCCTCTTGCCCAATGAGGGTGAGCAGGAGGGCTGAGTGCTTTATGACCTACTTCTCTTCTGCACCCCCCAAGCTGTCCATAAACCTCTGTCTATAGTTTCACACATTGCAATCTGATAACCCGTACAGTAGATTGTTGTGCGATATGAAATTTCCTTCGTTTTGATACTAAACTTGATGTACCTGTGAATTATATTTGGCTCAGGAGGGTTAATGTGTGTTTCTGGGGTTCTGGATCTCCTATACCACTCATGTTAGAGGTCGGCAACAGCGACAAACTCCATATGTCTCCGGGTGAAGGATTCCTTTTACAATTGTGACAACTACTTTGGATGGATGAGACAAGTGAGGACGAGGGGGTCACCAGTGAGGAGATTGTAAAAACATAATAAGAATGTATGTTACTTTTCTCTGTGACGGTAAAACCCACAAATGACCTTTTTTATTAAAGGGAGTTTCCATTGTCCACCACAGCCGCCGTGACATCCTGTCTATGGTCGTATTTGCAGGTGGGGGAGGGGTCTTGCTTGGACCGTCTCCTGCCTGTCTATTGGTCGGGGGATGATGACATCACAATGAGACGTTTACAGTAGACGTAAACCCAATCGCTGGAATCTCCTAGAAGCGTTAACATCTTCATGAAATGTTCAAAGCCGTTTTTATTATCTTCAAATCTGCAGCTTTTATTAAAAAAATGGCGATCCTGCAATGAAGGTCACTTCCTGTTATCGGGTGACAACTCTCTGTATCCTAATTGTGCCTCCTATGTTGTCACCCTGTCACACGCACTTCCAGCAGAGACTAGATTTACACAGACATGATCCACTGTTGTCACCATCCGGAAACCCGCCCGGAGGAAGGCCATGCAGCCATCGCTGGAGTGCATGTAGGCAGGAAGTTGCTGCAGGAGGGAGGGAAAGCAAGGATTTTATTACAATGTTACAATTGTTTGATACAAAGAGCTAAGAACAAACTAAGCGCAAACTCCGCCCCCTCCAGCTGTGGTGGCACTACAAGTCCAATGAGGCATTGCAGGATTCTGGCAGGCACAGGCAGGACTTCCAGCGGCAGATGCATGATGGGGATTTGTAGTTTCACCACAGCTGGAGGGATGGAGTTTGCCCAGCCCTGCTCTTGGGGGTTACAGATATATATATATATATATAATGGTCGTCTCCCTACAGCTGTAAATAATCTGGTCTCTGATTGGCTGTCGCCCCGATGCTCTCTGTTACATTGTATCTATATGATCTCACCGTACCGGAATATTCCCCCATCCGGGATCGCCGGGGAATTCTCGGTCACATGTCGGAATGTCGGACCGTCTTCTGCCAGCAGTGAGGACATTGTGTGATTTTAGTTGTTGTTGACGGCAACAGGAAATAGAGGAAGCCGCCAGATTGTCCGGGGGGGATATTCATGTTCCTGGCCGCCGGTCACTCCGATTTGTAAATCTGCCGCTTGCAGTGGGCGGAGCCATCTCAGCCATCCTCTGTATTCTGTGTCAGAGCTGAGATACGGACCGGGATGATGCCGGAGACTAAAGCTGGAGGAATGGATGGGGGCTTGTTTTATAGTCTTTGTGGCTTCCAGAAGTCAGCAGGTGGTAATAACCAAGCCAACTTACTACTATGTGGTGAATAGCCTAAAGAGCAGGATGCATACATACACTGGTCTTGTCTCCGCCCCCTCCTATCATAAAGACCGCTCACTGTCGCTCTCTCTGCTTGTGCAGGGTGACTGGTCTTGTCTCTGCCCCCTCCTGTAATAAGGACCGGTCACTGCTGCTCTCTCTCCTTCTGCAGGGTGACTGGTCTTGTCTCCGCCCCCTCCTGTAATAAAGACTGGTCACTGCTGCTCTCTCTCCTTGTGCAGGGTGACTGGTCTTGTCTCCGCCCCCTCCTGTAGTGGGTGGAGCCTACTGGGCCCCTCCCCCGGCTCTGCTCTCTGATGATGTCACTACTACTTTTACAAGACAATATCTGGCTTTATAAAGCCATTTGGAGCGCACAAAGTGGATTTCTAGCATTTTGTGGCTATTAAGGAATATATTTAAATACTTTTTTTTGGCAGAGTTCATCTTGTGAACATTTTTAGTTT